ATTAGCGGGACCACTCAACTATGTATATACCTAATCAAGTGGACTGTGAATAGCCGTGAATAAGATCGCCGGCGCCGTCGCGGAGAACTTTTTGCCTCATTAGAAGTTTCTTACGCGCAAGGATGTAGATATTCATGGATCGTATGTAGATCGCGGCCGGAGCGCCGGGAGAACTTTAATAAATTCTCAGGCGAGTTCGGCGTAAATTTACTTCGGTTGAATTTATGCGGTGCAGCCGGCGAGAACAAAGCGCGGCTTATTAATCGATAGCGGCGGCGCGAATTCGCGCGGCTACACTCGGATTTACGCGAGAACGAGATGTGCGCGATGTGCTTTTGACACACGACCGGTTTATATTCTTCTTTGACCTATATAACCCCTCATCTCCTCCTCCTCTCATCCGTTCGATTAATGCCGCGGCTCTTAATTACGCCGTTTAATCGGCATAATTAATCGCGCGGCGCATTTACGTGACGACGGTCTCTTTGCTTCTGTTTGTCCGCGCGCCGATGTTAATGCGTCGTTTGGACGAATAATTGCTGTAAAGTATCGATGCGCGTCCTAATTTACGAGCTCGCTGTAAATGCTGCCGGCGATTTCGCGATTGTGAGATTAGTCATCGCGACTGACGCATTAAACGCTTGTTAAACGATAAAAACGACGTTCTGAGTTATTGAACATGCGAAATTCCACGTTTCGTCACTCACTTTCGCTTTTCGAATCAAACGGATATACGTAGAATTTTTAATTTCTCAAATATGCAGCTTTTGACTTTGACTAATTTATCATTTTGTTTGTGCAAATTTTTAAGCAAATTTCACGTAGTTCTATTCTCGCCGAAAATACATGGCTCGAACGTAAAGCATATTGCGCGCGATATTGGTATTGTTATCTTCGATAACACGGAGCCGAGTGAGTTTGCGGCAAGCAATAGACTTGTGCAACAATGCGACGCGTCGAGATCTGTTATCAGTATGCGGGGAGCCGATTACGGCGATGATAATCGTAGCTTTTGCACAAGGAGAAAACTCGAAACGGGAAAGAGACAAGGCCCGGAGATTTACGTAAATAAAAGAGGCGTGTCGCGCTCTTACGATAGTCGAGTTATTCTCGCGGATAATAAATTGTTACAGCGACGGCGCTTGAATAGGATCGGAAGATGAGTCGGCTCAAAGTTAACAACTCGCTCGCCGTAGTGAAAGTAATCGGGCGTATTATTCGATTAAGAGTAATTGCTTCCTGGCGACCGGAGGGGTCAGTAGAAAGTTAAGGCGAGTGGAAGCGAGCCAGTGAGCGCACTTTTAATTCAAAAACGCGATTTACTCCACGATCCCGATAATAGGTTGTTCCGGAACGATCTGTTCTTCAAAGAATTCTCCCTTCCGAATCCCGAATGCACGCTCGTTTTACGCGGTTGACGTCGGATGAATTTAACGGCGCGCGTTAATCGCACTATTACGAATCGGCGGACGCGTAATATAAAATCGATTGAGTCTAATGTAGCGCCGCTAAAAATGAGATCGGAGATCTTTCCATCGCGTGCGCAGACACGACTCGAGATGTCTCCGCGCGAACAAGTCTAGGCGAGATGAACGCGGCGGCCTGCTGGCTGCCGCGACCTCGCGCGCAACGGTTACCGTCTCCGCGCCGCTCGCTTTCGCTTTCGCTTTCTCCTTCGCGCGCTTCTCATCTCGCGGTAACATCTCACGGACGACCCTCCCGCGAGACAGGGAGAATTGGCGGTTGATTTATAGGAAAGCAATGCCACCGGGGCGCCGTCGCGCCTATACTCCCGCGTATCGGTAATTTAATAATAGACCGAAGCCTATTACCGCACCGTATGACGATCATTACGTGACGGACGCGAGCGATTGATAGATCGTTCCGAGTTGCGCAATGCCGATTACGATTTCAATGTTAAAACCGCGATGTGCTATTATCCAATAGTGCGGTTTCGCATTTATAGAAGATTTTGCATTTATAGAAGTCGGTAAGTTACGCAATAAATGCCGTATGAATATTCGCATGATTATCGCGCCTATATACTTACATTCGTACAGGCTGTTGAACTCAAAATTGTAATTTTTTTTAATCGAATTTCTCGTCTTGGACTCGTTAATGGTTCTTAAGACCTTCGAAAAATGACGATTTTGTATTTTAAGGGAGGAATTTACGTCAAGTATCAATAATTTGTGATTTTATGACAAAACTGGATTTATACGAGCGCAGTTTCGTTTCCCAATCGATCGGGTGGGGGTGGTTGGATCGTCAAGTAGCACCGATTCGATCGTTCGGACGTTCGTCGAACGACTTAGGCGGCGCGCCGCGAAGACCGCCCGAGGACGTCGCCGTGGCGCGCCGTCCGAGCTTTCTCATCCTCCTACCTCCTCTCTCTCTTTCTCTATGTACGAATAAAAAGTCGGAGAGAGAGAGAGAGAGAGGGTACAGCTCGTAACGAAATTACTCGTTCTGAAACCCGGAGAAACCGGTTCTCAGAGTCGCGAATCGAGAGGTTCGCTCGTTTGCCTCGCGTGCGCTGTATGCACACACGCGGTGCGGTTTCCACTCTCGGGCATAAAACACACACTCACGCAAACACATACCGGGATGCCTTGGCGCGAAGGATTAGAGGCGGGTATATCACACGCCGCGCGCAGTTTTCCGACTCTCGGAGGCAGCGACCTTGCCTTCTTGCGCGCGCGCTGCTGAGAAGGCTGCCGCCGCCGTCTTTCTTTCGGACGTCACCGCAGTCAAAAGCTATGGAATGTCCGCGAACACAGCGGCGCCTAAAAATAGTTTCCAAAAAAAATTTGTGTTTTTTTTTCCGCGCGACATTTTTTCAATTCAGAAAAAACAAATTTTTGTTGAAATTTCTATATTGTTCGCGATATTTTTGATACGGAAAGTAAATTAAAAAGTAAATTTTGTACGAAATTTTTATGTCGAAACGTGTAAAAATACAAAGAACAATTTAAAGATGCAAATATCGCTCATAAGTACCAAAAGAACACTCTACAATTAGCCGAGTACCTCGCCGGCTATTTTGAAACTCGTAGCTGTCTCTGACCGTAATAACATTATAATTACATGTATGACTAATTGATTAAATTATGCCACACACAATTGCGCGCTGTGTCGCGTGCGCGAAACAGCTACTTTTCGAGTGCACGTCGCTTTCCACCCTCGCAGACGTGAATATCCATCGCGACAGCAAGAAGCGTTTCAGACTTGGTCCTTTGTTCAGGCTGCGGGATACGCATTACGATTCATTATAATGAAGATCGTCTGCAAGGTAGACTGCCTTGAGGATAATGAGCCGATTATATACGGACCGTACGCGCAGCGAGACTGTCTTGATTATAATGAATTCGCTGGGAACGAAGACGGAGAGCGAGTGAGCGAGAGCGAGCGAGCGAGCGAGCGATTCGCTCCTTCCCGGATGCTGTTGCTGCTGAATGCTGCCGGCTGGTAGCATCGCCATCAGTGGTGCATAAGCGAATTCGAAAATAAGAAGGCAAAGCGTGACCGCGAAACAGCGACGTCGTGAAAATTACCATTTCGCTCTTTAAACCCTTTTCACGTGGAAAAAAGAAGATTACGATGATTCTCCACCTTTCATCGCCTTGTCGAACGTAACAGTAGCTTTCCGGTTTGAACTTGACGTTGAGAAATTAATTAGTAGCGTTAATTCTAATTCCCATTATGAAAGTAAGTTATGAAAATTAAATTCATAAAATCAAATAGTAAAATATTTTATATAAATTTGCATATAAATTTTGTGTGCATATATATTTTTTCTTCTCGACATTATTATGGTTATTAAAAGTCTGTAGTTTATTGTGAAAATAATTTAAATTGCGAAGGAAGATATTTATTCCGAAATGCGAAATAAAGAAATATCTCTTTTCAGATTGTTTTAATTTGACATGCATCGTTAATGCGTTAAGCTAAAAGGCGTGTTCATCCTGTCATATCCGTCGTCGCCGGCGGATTTCTAGATATCGGACGGGAAAAAACTACGGTATGAAAGAGAAAATGCATTCGCGGATTGTCGCTGCTAAATGTATTCGTTAAAGTTGTCGGATTCAGCGCACGTTCGCGCGAAGTGCAGTCGCAACTCTTCGCGTTGAATTTTTTCCACGTCTCTCGCCGGCGCATCCTCGCTTCATGAATATTCCAACGTTGATTACGGTGGATGCCCCGCCGCGCCATTGTTGCTTATCGAAACAGCCGTTGCTCGTTCGCGTCCGTGTCATGAAATTTCGAAAGCACGACACGAAACGGGATCGCTCGTTCGCGAGTCGACGGACGACGATCTCCATACACGCGGCCGAAATCGACGAAAGGAATTGTTCTCAATCATTTATAATTGTTGCTTAAATAACATCAAATTATTATTATTGTTTCTTAATAGCTCGAGAATCGGGTCGAAATTATCTGGCAATAATGTCTACGTATCGCTCGTAATGATGACAAAATACATTATTTACGGCTTCTGCGTATTGAAAGAAAAGTGGTGTGAGTCTAATATAATTATTAGCAACTTGATTATCATTAATTCAAGTGCGACCTACGTGAGAACGCGATCTTTCGCGTGCCTTTAAACCGGGATTAACCTTTCGGGAAGTTTTGATGGATCACCTGGCATTACAAATTGCCGCTTAATCCATCAACCAAGTTCAGCAGTTGCGGCAATTATTTTAACGTTCGCATGCACCTCGGCGCTCGCTTGAGATACATTCGAAATTGCGTGCGCGTGCACGCACGACACGTATTCGATTCACATTGCATCGCTAACTTTTGGTTCACCGCGAGACGAGACAATGCATTCGAATGTCGGGAAACGCAAAGCGTTGCGGAAACAGAAATCTTGATTTTAATTAAAATTTTCCGAAGCTTTTTCTGTCTGAAATAAGCTGCAAGGATACATTCAAAGCTTTTTTTAATTAAAAAAAGTTGCAGGAACATATTTTTTAACAAACTTTCTTCTTTGTTGTCAGGTTTTAAATTCATCCCTGAAGTGGGCCGCACATGTTATGGTACAGCCTGCATAACGACCGTTCGACATATGGCACTGCGATGAGCGAGTAAGTGTTGCATGTTATTTATTCAGAATACATTCCCCTAAAACTCATCCTCCGACGTTCACGCCGATTCTCAGCGTTTTATTTTGCACATTCACGCCGGCGATTAATCTCATTCGCCGAGATCGCGCGCTCGCAATTGATCGGCCCGTAGATTTCGATCGTCGAGCGACGATTAATAAGTCCCCAATCAGGCGCCGTCGCGAGCGTGGTTCTTTCGCTCGCAATGACAGCCGTTTTCTACAGTTATAATTATGATCGCGATCGTAAATCAGACCTTGGCTGTATCTTCGCAGCGCGCACCGTGACGTCGTTCTCGCTCGAGGGCTCGCCTCGTATGACATAAACATTATACGAGCGTGTGCGGGGTTCCCTTATATATGTTCCCTCCACGCGATATAGTTACCCGCATGGTTACAGTCGGGCATTATCATTGCCGGTGCGCGCGCGTAATTGCCTGTACGGTTGCCACGAGGTCGCGGCGAATCCGATCGGATTCCCATGGCTGCGTAGGGCTTGCTTCGCGCAGCATCTTAACAGCAGCGGTTGAAACAACGCTGAACGGAATTGCGCGTAAAAATTTCGATTTTACGAGCGTGGTAAATTCGCCGCTATTAACGGCAGAGTGAAAATAACGGTGCCCGGAGTTAAAAAGTCGATCGTTTGATGCGCGATGCTGGCTGAATACAGTTTGAGAAATCGCGGAATATCGCGCGTTCAAGGCCTTCTATGCCTTGCATCCGGACGACATTATAAACGAGCAGAAGCAACACGGTGGCAAAACGGAGAGCGGCCTTTGTTAACTCGAGCGTCACGTTATCATCGCTGCGACGAGTTACGATGTAACGGTGCTTTAAAGCTTCTCCTCTCCGTTCCACCGTGCTTCTTTTTTTTTTCTCGCTTTTCGCAGCGGGTCGTGCGTGCAATTGCGCCATCGCCTGGCGCATCCGCGTTTGTGCGCCAGTCGTAAGAAGGCAATACCGGTAATCATGATTTGCGCGGCTTCTCTTGCGCTTTTCTGTTCTCAGTGTATTGAGTTTCGATGCATCGATTTTTATTATTATATATTTTGTATTATTTTACTGGAAGATGAGGAAACATACATTTTTATAAAGATCCATCGCAAGCAAAAATATCGCGTTTGTCGTTTAATGTCGGCATTGCGAATTGTTTTTACCGCAGAGAATTTCGCCGAGTCGCTGCTTGGAAATTCGATGTTCAGGAAGTTCAATACCTCAAAACGCCCATTTGTGTAAGCATTTCTCCGGAGCCAGAGATAGAGAGACAGAGAGATATGGCTCCGTCATAAATCACTTTTCTTCATCGCTACCGGAAGTCTAAGCTTCCGACGGGAGTGTATACAGCAATCGCAGACGGCATGATAGTTTTGGATAGGAAGGGTTAATCCATCACCTCGATCGAAAATAGTGGAATCTGGCATCGGCGATATGTATCGCGGGTAGGAGAGCGGCGAAGAGGGACCGCGGAATTGAATACAACGAAAAGGGCTCTGCCGTCGGCCGGCAGAAATTGAAACGTCGCGCGGAAATTGAACGGCAGAGCAGGCGAGCGAAGCCTTTTCCCTGGCTTTCGTGCACCGCGATTCGGTCGGTGGGTCCCTGAACGCGGAAATGGAAGCGTCGCTTGTAAACTGAAAACCTTATAAATCAGTCCGGCATTTTTCGCGGCGACGCGGCGCGAGGCCGACGCTGTGTAAACGATCGTGCGCGAATTTCGCGATTGCGTACGCATCGCGTCGCGATTTTCTTTCACGAAAGGACCATTCGCTCTTTTTCCTCGCGTCGTGTGTGAAAGTAAAAGATGTTGATTGAATGATGAACCTTTTTTCCAACGAGTAATTTTATCCAGCGATATACAAATATATTTTTATATCACGTAGAATATTTTTGTCTTATTCTATCGAGTCGTTTTTGCGGCGTTAAGCAAATTTGGAAATTTGCGACGACTTGCCGGCAGCGAATTTATGTATCGGATACATTTATGCGAGCGGATCCCGCGTGTCGTCTTACACTCCGCCGTTCCTTCCATCATTCGCACTTGGCGCGAATTTCACCCGGGGGCGGCGTCGCTTTACGATACGTTACATTGAATTATCTCGATGCATGCAGTGTGCGGCGCGTGCTACCGAGAAGCAGCACCGGTGATACGGTGTATTTATACGGGCATTTATCGCCGCGCGATTACGCTTCTCTAATCTCTATCGAGCATATATATCGCCTCTAAGTAAGTTCGTGTATCTTCATCGCGAATCACTTGTAAGGAAGCTAGAACTACTGTCGTAAGTTCAACACGTTTAATGCGCATAGCTTTTCATTAATTCCGCGATAATTTAATTAAAGATGGCACGGCAGATATGTTACGGTTGAATTCAATTTCTGAGAAATATATTTGTTATTTCGTTTAATCTTTTTGCGAAAATTTATTAGCGTAAAACAATCTTTATCAATCTTTCGAAAGGTACATCATTATTTTTAGATTTCCTGTATAAAAATTTGATTAATTATCTCTTTCTACAAAGGAAAATGTGACGACTCTATTGATTACGTCATAGCGAGGCACGTCAGAGCTTTCTATGACGTCAATTCTAATTATATTTGCCGCGCGGAAGAGATCAATTTGTTCTCTTTATTTATTATGCATGTTACTTCTTAAATGCGATTCGTACATACGTCACGCAGTAATAAATCAGTATCGTCGCGCTGAACATCATCACAATGATCATTTAATGCGTTAAGATGGGTGGAACGTTCGTGATCGACTGCGCGACGAGTTCTCGGTAGAATGGATAGAGATTAAGAGGCGGCGCATTTTCCGAGAAGCGCGTAAACCTTCTCGCTTATCCTTCCCGGTTCCCACAGTTTCTCCCTTCCTTCGTTCCTTTCTGCGGATCGGCGGCTGCCGTCGCTCTCAAGTCGAACGGCCGGAGAGTAACTCGTTTTGAATGTAACGCCGGTCGTTGCCGTGCGCGAAGCGATGATTCGATCTTCGTCCTTTCGGTGATCCGCGACTGATTCATAACAGTTCTCGCCGACGAAACCTTCACGTCTCGGTGAGTTTTTAAAAGCTCGAGACTTCCGCTGAGCGATGATCGACGAACGCGATGTGTCGCGATTTTTGAGATTTCAGAGCGTGCAATTATGTAATTAAAACAAAAACTGATTACTCAGTTTTAATGAATCTCTCGAAAGTTTTGCGAGCTGTATAATTTAGATGCTCTGCAGCGGACGGGTTGAAACACTTATCGGAACGTGATCGTTCCTCGTCACGTTGTAAATGCTCGACTTCGCGAAGTCGCGATAAAAAAGCCAGCTGGGAAAGGCACTTTGAAAATTGCCTCGCATCGCGAATTTCAGGTCCGTGCAATATACTATATCTCGTTATCGCGCACACGCCCGCCGCTCGGTCGTTTCTCTCCGACTCGCCGACCAATCTTCGTCCCGCCTTCCGTCCGTGACAGGTCCGCAACAGTTTGCCACTTACAGCACCTTCCGCTCCCTCGGCTATAACCTTCTCTCATTAACGTCCGTTACTTCGCACTCGATTCCGTACCCGGAACCACGTCGGGCTCGCCTTTCTCCCCCATTATTTCGCCGAAGCGAGGATGCACAAGGACGCTAATGCGGTAATGCTTCTTTTATCGCGAGACTCCATCCGGTACTCGTGAGGAAAATACGGATGATTTGCAGATGAGAAACTTTAAAAGCAGAGCTGTTCCAATGAAGAAGTCTTGCGAAGGAATATTGACACGAACTGATTTCATCATTTTTTTTTCTTTTTTTCTTTTAGATATCTTCAGGTAATTAAACTTGGAATTAAAATTCTGCTGAAGTAAAATTGCCAATCATCCCGTATAATGCGAGAGCGTAATTGAGATTTCACTCCACGAAAGCGGCCCGCATTGATCCGCGGCAATTTGGTGCGAGCTTCCGAGTACGCTTGCAACCTTGCTCCAGAAACGCGTTCGGTAATGGGTGTATTTGTGTGTGTATCTTCTTGATCATGCGTCACCACTCTTTCCACACGGCGTGGCGCGAACCCAGTGGCCCAGTAACCCACATAGACATTTATATCGAAGCGCGTGTCAATCCCTGAAAAGCCATGAAATTGAGTTCGATAGTAGGATTGCATACAGAAATCCGAAGCTTAATGGAATTTCTCTGACTGAACGAAAATATAGAATCGGTTCTCTTGTTTTTGTTTCAAACTCAAATTATTCAGCGTATTTCGGAAAAAATATTTATTTTTCATATTTTCTCTTGTACACACGCGTATAAAACATTTCTCTTTTAGGCTTTTAATGTAAAAATTCCCACATTTTTTGTGTCCGGACTTTTCGGCTCTCTCGCAGATGCAAGCAATTTATTTAAAGATCGCATCAAATGATGAAAGTTTATTATTACTTTATTATCAGATGGAATGCTTCTAGATTTTTAGCTGCTTTTAAATCTGCATTATGTTAAATTATAAATATTACGTTCCGGTTAAATTAATATTACGGGTGTTTTCTACATTGTTCTACATAGGAGTTTATAAAATGAGGACATACCTTATTTATTGCTGAGGTGGCAAGGTGGGAAGCGCGATTCGTATCGATCACTCGATTTGCGGAGGGAAGCGTGATGTCGCCGAACGAACGATTCGGCGATGATTTACGATTGTCGTTACAACGTCGCGCGCTCTGTAATAAGCCGCAATCGGCTCTTCCTCGGCGCACCTGCGTGCCGTCGCCGCGCAACGTTACATCTTTACTGGGTCAGCGCTCGCGCGCGATCGATATCTTCACCTTGCCGAGACACGAGCGTGCACCGGCGATCTGACCCACTGACCTACAAGTGGCATCAGGTCGCCGAGAACGAGGATACACGAGGCTCGTGCGCTGAAAACCGGACCGGCGGCGGGCAGTTAGATAGGATCAGATACGACGACTCGAGCGTGCTCGATGATTGCCTGAGAGTGCATGATTGCCGTTTCGATGCGCTCTC